CCCTGGATCTCTTGTTTAGGAGAGATAACTGACTGAGTGTGTGTGTGTGTTTGAGAGAGAGAGAGTCAGTGAGACCGCGTGTGTGTATGTGATAGTGAGTGCAAATAAAACTCTCATTTATTCTCGTTATAAGATAATACAGAGACACTAAAGAGATTGAGATATGATTTCTCGTCCATATTCTGCAGGTTGAAACAGAAGTTCAGGATAATAATCAGTTTTGGTTTTATGTTCACGAACGGCTCTCTGTAGCTCCAGCAGAAGAGTGTGTGTCGTCTCACTCACACAGTTTAGTGTTTCTGTCAATCATGAATATTCCCGCGTGTAAATCTGATGCTCTCGGTCGCGGCGGAGTATAATCCTGATGAGCTCGTGTCCAATCAGCCGCAATCACACGCCAATCAGTGCCTGAGTGTGTGTCAATACACTCTCAGAAAAAAAGGTCCAAAAGCTGTCACTTGGGCTGTACCTTTTCAAAAGGGACACTTTTGTACGCTAAGGCTGCATATTGGTACCTTAGTGGTACAATTAGCACCTAAAATGTACAAATTAGGACCTAAAATTGACATTAGCACCTAAAATGTACATATTAACAACTAAAATGTAATATCAGCACTTAAAATGGATGGACAAAAGTTTACCTTTTGAAAAGGTACAGCCCCAGTGACAGCTTTTGTACCTTTTTTTCTGAGAGTGTATACACACTCAAACCAAACATCATTGAGATACCTGACATTATTCAGACACCAGATATCATTTATGATATGTTCCACTAGTGTGATCAGGACACTATAGTTCATTAATGTAAGTGAGGAGAGCAAAATAAAGTAAACTGGGACATACACCCAAATATTCTTGATAATGATCATGAGATTTCAGGAGAACGACTCGATAGACATTTGATAATCAATGAAGACAAACATGTTTTTCTGATGAATCATTCTCACACGAATTAAGAGCAAAAAATAGAGATTTCATGTGTTTCATTTATCAAACTGAAAGGCATATGAAGCGTTCCTCAGTTAAACACACTTTCCCATCATCACACACACTTTCCAGCTTCTATATAATAAACAGACTGGAAGCTGTTCATGAACCGTAGCACAAGTCGCGGAGACTTAAAATTAGCCTAGCCCAGTCCGGCCGACCCGGTCCATATTTGGCGTCGGTTCCACAGATTAGCCGGAGTGTGTCCGTGAGGAGACTAAATAAGGGTCCGAGCCCAAAGATGAACACACACTCCACATCCGACGGATGATCCGGCACCATCGGCAAACACCCGGAAGATACTGAGGTGATCTGACCTTTGACCTCTCACAGGTGCTTTAGATTCCATTTCATCTCAGTCACATCAAGTACTCTTAAACACACGTGCTTGGTTACACTTTATTACCGAGTTAATGTATTCATGAACAACTAACCATGAGCAATGTCAACTACAACCTTTGATTTTAATAATATCAGTAAATTTTGAAAATAATATTAACTTAATAATAAATGCTGTATTGTTCATGTTAAGTAATAAACTTTATTGTAAAGTGTTACTATAGTAATAACAGTAAATTAGGCCTATGCATAAGTTACCTAACTCTATAGTGCATGTAGTGAATTATGATTATTCAGTACTAATATGAGTAAGTGCTGTAACTACGTGAAATACAGTGTAACCCAATTTGAATCAATGATTGTTAATGTTCATTTCTCCAGATCTGCTCCGTTGACGAGAGCTGGACAAGTTTGACTGATGGGTTCCCAAAAACATACAGTTTGGAAAGTGAAGATTGTTTCTGCCACAGAATGAAAAATTAAAAAAAAAGGTAATATCCACTTTTTATCTCACACTGACATTTCCACATTACCTCTGCCAAATAAATGTAGAATTGCTGGATGTAAAGCCGCAATTGTGAGACATAAAGTGCCAATTATCTTTAAAAATGTTTTATTCTGTGTGGAAATCAATCTTCCATATGAAGGAGATTTGATCTGGTTGATTGATGATGTCACATGATCATGGTGATCTCTTTATAACGATTCCCAAACAAACAATCAAACGCTTCATAAATCATCGACACGACTGATAAACTCTTCTGGCTGTGTTCTCACTTAATCAACAATATGAAAAAGGTTTTTTTTTTGCAAAATATCAGAAAAGCATGGTTTGTAATGTAACATCAAATCAATCCTTGTGTTATCTCTGAGGTGAAGAAACTCCTGTGAATATACACAGTGTCTTTATTATTATTTATAATGTTTTCCTCCATATTCGATGTAAAGCAGTGTTTCTGCATGTTCACAGACGCCTGAGAGCCGTTCCGCTGGTGTGTGTGTGTGTGTGTGTGTGTGTGTGATGTAGACGTTTGTTTGAATGAATTTGCCCTCTATTATTCTTCAGAGTCCATATAAGCAGAAGCATGATGACCCTGACAGTCTCTCCGCTCGTGATGAATGACTCTCCTTCCATCGTTTGTTATGACAGAGAGAATAAATAATGAGGAATTAATGTGACCACAACTCAGATCAGACAGAAGCCGATCCACTGATCCAGCCCACAGTTTATCTATCTATCTATCTATCTATCTATCTATCTATCTATCTATCTATCTATCTATCTATCTATCTATCTATCTATCTATCTATCTGTCTGTCTGTCTGTCTGTCTGTCTGTCTGTCTGTCTGTCTGTCTGTCTGTCTGTCTGTCTATCTATCTATCTATCTATCTATGTATCTATGTATCTATGTATCTGTCTATCAGACGGCGCTCGACTCAGAGCTGAAGATTCTTGCCATGAAGGAGGGAATCATTTTAAAACTTCAGAAGTTAAAAGTTAAATTTGGGGAAACCGCTTGAAACATTTGTTGTGTTGAACTCTTTCCAGTACTTTAGTTTGATTTGTTCACTGCAGAACAGTCTCTGTAAATGTTGCCATTAAACCTGATTTGCGATGGGGGGTGAATAACTGGATTCACTCTTCTGAGGTGTACAGCGTCAGGTTATGATATGTCAGATATAATCGTGTTGTGTTTGTTTGCTCAGTAAAGCCGAGCATCTGCTCACACACAGAAGCACTTCAGGGATTTCCCATCATGCACCTCTCTCATGGCACACACAGAGACGGTTCTGGTACATAATAAAGCAAAGATTTCTCATTTAACAGTCGTGATGCATGTTTATTATTCAGCCATATCTGTTCTGAACATGTGTCAGTATTTGATATTTGTGGAGATTAAACTCAGCATTTTGATCTCATAATAACCTGAACTCATCCGAATGAAGACATTAATCTTAAATTAACTTTAACATTAAATAACGCGGATCATGGCAGGTGTTGTCGGCAGGGCTTCGCTTAACGCTGGAGAAATGCTTGTGTTATATTTCAGTTTATGAATCAGAAGGAATGAAACATCACAGATCTCTGGAGCCGCTGTGTGTGTGTGTGTGTGTGTGTGTGTGTGTGTGTGTGTGTGTGTGTGTGTGTGCGTGTGTCCGAGCTGGAACTGAGCTTTCATGGGAGAGTCAGAGATGAACTGGAAGAGGATGAGGAGAGACTTTATATTTTATTTTTAGGCATTATTTACAGTGTGTGTGTGTGTGTGAAAGAAAGAGATTTTGTGTGTTTGTGTGCATGCGTGGATTCAGCTTCTCGGTTCAGTACACTAATTTCCAATGTCACAGACCTGTCACTATGACAACCGTGAGGACTGCACACACACACACACACACTCACACTTTCTCTCTCTCTCTCTCTCTCTCTCTCTCTCTCTCTCTCTCTCTCTCTCACACACACACACACACACTGTCACACTTTGATTCCCTTTGCATGAAGTTTATGTTTCTGAGCCCATTGACAGATGTTTGTTAGATGAAAAAGACAAAAAATATTGATTTACAAAATAATGTTTTTCCAGTGCAGCACTGAGACATTTCACCATCCAATCAGAGTCACGCACAGCAGGTCACGTGATTTATGAATGTCACTGGAGGATTGTAGTTCAAGTTTTTTTTTCGATTGTTTACACACATTTCCTTAAAGCATGCTTCACACTCTCGACACACAATCAAAACACACACACACACACACACACAATGGGCTAAACCCCTCAATTCTCCTGCAAAATGAAACATTTTAAGTAAATATCAGCTGTAATTTGGGTGTAAAGCAGGAATTGTGCCTGTAGTTCCGCAGAGTTGGTTCGGGGGAATGTGAATGAGTAACATGTTGTCTTTGTGTCTCAAGTAAGAATTTGTGTGTAAACAACTTTATTTTTATTATTTTATTGTTTTCAGGAAGCTGTCGTCGTCGTGTATGATGAGGTTTTGCTGGAAGACTTGTCAGAAATATTCAGCTTAGTGTCAATCAAACACTTCCTGCATCAGAACAATCCGTTCAGGCAAAACCGCCGGCCGACCGGAACCGTCACGCGTTTTATTCAGGATTCTTTGATGAAAAGAAAGCAAAACACTGTGGAAAGCACTTTTGTATATTTATAAATGATTTTACTTTAAATTTTGTATACAATTTAATACGCCCTTAGCGAATAAAAGTAGGCTAAATAATAATAAGAAGAAATAAATATTATTTGCGGGGTTTTTTTAAAAATAATTTTTACAAACGCAGTTTTCTTTATTCTTTATCCTGATCGAGATCACTTACACTAGATCGCGCGCAAGAGCCTCGTTCTTCCGTCGCTTCACACACACACACACACACACACACACACACACACTGATGAGGGGGACCACGGCGTCACCGACAGCGAAGCCCGCCCCGAGCAGCGAATCCATCATCTTCATCATCCTCATCCTCACCTCAGAGATGCGGTCGGTCCTCGGAGCTGCTGGAGTGATGGACACTATGAAGATGATGGTGGTGTGATGATGAAGATGATGATGAATGTGACTGAGCGCTTCAGGTGGATCTAACTGACCCATATTCTCCTCAGTTTGGACTCAGCAAAGCTCCGTAAGTTTAAAATCATCATTCATATTGGCTATATGAGTTTTATTTCTATTATTATTTTATATTATTTCGTGATTGATCGAATAACTTTTGTAATATTTTTTTTATAATAAATGCGACTTTTTAAAAATAATTGATAACAGCCTGCGGATATAAATCGGTGATTGTATCCCCGGCCCGTATTCTCTTCTTCGGTGTCTGTTTCTCCACTCTGGGTTCTGGAGGTTCTGGAGGTTCTGGAGGTTGAACTCTTGGTTAAACTGTTAGATTGAGCTCGAGCAGTGAGTGATTCTCTGTGCGCTGGGGCTTGTGTGTGTGTGTGTGTGTGTGTGTGTGTCTGTGTGTGTGTGTGTTTCTGTGGTTTTGTGTGTATCTGTGTTTGTGTGGTTTTGTGTGTATCTGTGTGTGTGTGTGTGTGTGTGTGTGTGTGTGTGTGTGTTTCTGTGGTTTTGTGTGTATCTGTGTTTGTGTGGTTTTGTGTGTATCTCTGTGTGTGTGTGTGTGTGTGTGTGTGTGTGTGTTTCTGTGGTTTGCTGGAGTTTGGTGTAAGAGAGTTTTTGCTGAGAATCAGTGCGTGTTTCAGTTTCTCTCAAATCCAGTTCATTTACTGGACTGGCGATACGAGCCAAACCATCGCAGTATTGATTTATATACAGAGTACAGTCAAATAATATAATGATATTTAATTGGCAAGTCAGTTTGACGATGAAGTGTGTGTGTGTGTGTGTGTGTGTGTGATGTCACACTCTTGGCTGAAGCTCAAAGTTGAACTTCTGATGTGGACAGTCAGTGATCCTGAAGCTGGACAGGTCAGGGTTAATATTGTGTTGTTCACACACACTGTATGGGGTAGTTACTCGGTCATATTTCCACTCCTTCATGAGGATCGTGAGGATGATCATATCTGGCGGTCTAAAGGTTGAACACACGAACTCTATATGTCACTGTATTACAACATTAGATGTGTGTGTTTTCTGAATACCAAGCGTCTGCCGAATGCATGAGTGTGTGTGTGTGTGTGTGTGTGTGTGTGTGTGGGCCGTTTCTGGACGCGTGCTCCTGTAATTGAGTTCTGAAAGCTCTTCTTGTGTTATTGTGATGCAGTCGCATTTAGAAACGTTCATGCGCTTCACTCTCGATCATGAAGATCATCACTCGAGGAAACACACTAAACACAACTCAAACAACACACACAACTCACACAACTCACACACAACTCACACACACACACTCACTGCTTCGTGATCCAGCACGTCTGTCAGACTGGAGACTCGCAGGTGGAGAGAATCATCACTGTAATTATTCCTGATCATTTCATCTCTGCGCAGGAAGACAGTTTGTGTCTCATTCTCTAATTACTGTCAGACGCCCATCTCTCTCTCTCTCTCTCTCTCTCTCTCTCTCTCTCTTCAGGTTCTGTATCAATCTCACTCTTAAAGTGATCGTTCGCCTCAAAATGATCATTCTGTTTTTCATCTCCTATCATCCTACTTTTGACTTTCATGTCGTTCTCAAACTGTACGCTTCAAAACTTCTGTCGTCATGTACTCTTGTTATTAATTCCTTCATACACAAAAGATATTTTGAGAAATGTTTTTTCTTGTCCATACAGTGAAAGTCAGTGGGTTTGGATATTCTTTTCTGAAGACAGAAAGTCAGGGAGAATAATAGTGCCAGAGTACGGTCTCTGGAAGATCTCTGGAAGATCTTGTCATGAACGTTATGCTACTATTTAGCAGATCCAACTTGATTTGCATCCTGTAACTGATGAAACATGACATGCAGAATTTTCTTTGATTCCTCTCGTTGATCTGGACTCGGTTCCTCTTCTGGATCTGGATTCAGTTCCTCTCGTTGATCTGGACTCGGTTCCTCTTCTGGATCTGGATTCAGTTCCTCTCGTTGATCTGGACTCGGTTCCTCTTCTGGATCTGGATTCAGTTCCTCTGGTGGATCTGGACTCAGTTCCTCTCTTGGATCTGGATTCAGTTCCTCTGGTGGATCTGGATTCGGTTCCTCTTGTGGATCTGGACTCGGTTCCTCTCTTGTATCTGGATTCAGTTCCTCTGGTGGATCTGGAGTCTGTTCCTCTTGTGGATCTGGACTCGGTTCCTCTGGTGGATCTGGACTCGGTTCCTCTGGTGGATCTGGACTCGGTTCCTCTGGTGGATCTGGACTCGGTTCCTCTCTTGGATCTGGATTCAGTTCCTCTGGTGGATCTGGACTCGGTCTGGACTCGGTGGATCTGGACTCCGCGTGTCTGGATGTGATTAGATAAAGCTGCGTTACAGAACATGATTTCTGATCAGAACATGCGTGGGCGTTCCCACAGATCTGTCCATTTATAGGGATGTTTGGGAACCGTCCACTGGCCATCACACAGTTTCTCTGAAAAGTATCATGATTATAGGACGTTTTGGAGATGGAAGGGTGATTATATGGTGTTGTGGTTGGTTAGCGTACTGTATAAGGCAGTGTTCTGATGAAGAGCAGCCGCTGTGTCGGAGGAGGAGGAGGAGGAGGGAGACAGAAGGATTCACTCGTGTTTGAACGGATCGATCTGCTCACACCCGGAACAGGTTTAGGGAAATGTTTAGCCAGAACCATCATTTATCTCAGAGTTCAAAGAAGAGCGAGGCACAACCTAACGCTGTTTGACTTTCTCAGTTTGTGTAAACCTTCTTGGGATTCAGAGCATTTGGTTTTCCCGCATTAATTACACACGTCTAGTACAATTATCTTCATTTAGCCTGAAAGAATGGAAGTGATTTGTGACAACATGCCCAAAGGTGAGGTTCATTATCACATGACCATATGACAGATTAACAGTGTTATCTGATCTAATCAAGAAATATACAAGACAAATAAATATATATATATTTTTTACTAAAATATTTTCTCAATAAAATACAATGATTAACTTTTTCATATGAAAACAATGGAAATTCTTCTAATAATTAAAATGATCTAACTTTTGAGTTTGACAACAAACACACCACAAAACACAGCAACACAGCGTACGTAATAATAATGAATCATTTCTGAACATTGACTCGAATAGAATAGAACAGTGCAGGTCTAATAGAGGCTCATTGTGACAACATGCCCCGCCTGTGCAACAACTGTTAAATAATAGACACAAGATTAAAATAATATCAGATTTGTCTCAGTTTAAATAAACACAAAAACAGAGATGAAAAATGAACATGAGAAATGTATTTTTGCTATGGTTAAATGTTCAGTGATATCTTCCAAAGATTTCTGAATATTGCTGCATTTTGATGTGGTTGATATGGTTTATTTATTGTGCAGTTTCTATATAGTGTTGAAATGCAACTGGTAAATGAACTAAGATTGGTCATGCTAGCGTGTGTTTTAGCCCATATTACCCACAATATGAGTTCTGCTTCCTGGCGTACGGCTGATGTAAGACCAGTTCGTTTATTCATTCACATTCACATATTTACATCTGGTCTTAAGTTTGCATCCGTCTCTGTCTGACTGTTCCTGTACCGCTGAAGCGTAACACGAGCAGAAGGGCTTTAAAACGTCAGAGTTTCAGCTGTGAAGTAAACAGTTGGAGGACGTTCACAAGCTGTCACAGTCCTTCGTCTGCACCTGTCTGCGTCTCCAGCACTACACTTCCCAGGATCCTCTTGTCTCCACACCTGAACTCACTCCCTCATCAGCCTCCCGTTCAGCGTCCTGTATTCATCTGTTTCACCTGTTTTCACCTCGTTTAGTTTGATTCCTCTGTGTATTTAGTTCCTTCCCATTCAGTCTGTCTTTGTCGGTCGATGTTGAATGTTACCCTGTGTTGCACCTGTTTACCTTCTTCTGCCTGTTATTTGGAATTAAAATTACCTTCGTGTTAATCTGGACTCTGCCTGATCGTCTGCCCGCTCCACACCGTGACAGATCGACCGACCAAACTGCAACATGACCGCAGTGACTTTTCGGGGGATGCTCGACCCGATTCGGCGACCCCGCTTGATTTTGGTGCCCCGAAAGCCTGCGCTCACCGTCAGCCAGGCAAAGCTCGAGCTCCCCGCTCCGCTGGTTCCGTCCAGCCTCGCCGAGCCCGAGCTCTTTCCTCTGCTGGTCCCGCCCAGCCTCACCCAGCCCGAGACCGTCTACTTCCCATCTGCCCTTCATCTGGGGACCCTACCCAAATATGTTTGGGGGGGGGGCCCAGTGTCCCAGCCCGCGCCAGAGACCGTCCAGCCAGCGCCAGAGACCGTCCAGCCAGCGCCTGAGACCGTCCAGCCAGCGCCTGAGACCGTCCAGCTAGCGCCAGAGACCGTCCAGCCCGCGCCAGAGACCGTCCAGCCCGCGCCGGAGACCGTCCAGCCAGAGCCCGAGACCATGGTCCCTCCCAGCCTCCCTCTCCCACCTCCTCCTAACCATCACTTTTGGACTGTTCATCCACCACTGCTGGTCATCCCCTCTGCTCACTCAAGCCCCTTCGGTAAGGCCGAGTTCAGGTCTACACTTCTGTCCTCAGAGCCCACACCTTCATCTCACCCTGTCAGCCCTCCGCCTTCACCTAGACCCACCACTCCCTCATCGCCTCCGCAGTCCGTCTGCCCGGAAGCTCCGCTGGGCTCGAGCGCCACGCCAGGTCGGCCCTCGTTGCTCGACGCCCAGTACCAGCCACGGACTTCCGGGATTCGGGCTGCACCCTCACCCTGCACCCCTTCGGCATCCCTGGACTCCTCCCTTCCTCTGGTCTCCCCGTCGGCCTCACTCGCCTCATCGTCACTCCGGTCACCCGTCCGCGCGTCGCCTCTTCGGTCCCGTGGCTCTACGGCGTGGCTTCAGCGTGCCAGGACTGCGTTGGCGCCATGGTTCTTCGGCCTTTCAGTTCCGCCGTGGCCGCCTGAAGGGTCCTCACTGCCGTGGCCGCCTGAAGGGTCTTCGCCGCCGTGGCCGCCTGAAGGGACCTCACCGCCATGGTCGCCCGAGAGGTCCTCACAGCCTGCTCCGCCCTGGCCACGCCCTCA